TGTTAGAACTTCCTCCACTGTGCTTTTTCTTCTGCAGTATCAAACAAAAACAAAAAGAAAGTTGTGTAAAATCACTTTTATAATTTTCTAGTCACTTTTAATTTCCACACCAGCCCAGCTGGAAGATAAAGCATATAGCATTTCTAATGATAAGATCATCAAGCTAAGGCCATGTTTGGTATTAAATTATGCTCCCCTGAGCCCAAAAGACATTTTTAACACCCCAGATGCCAAAATTAAACAAAAATATTCATAAGAAAAAGAAAAGGGCTTACCCACTAGCACCAACAACATCCTTAGAAATCTTCATCTTTTTGGTGGTGCCATTGTACAAGTCCTCCAGAGTGCAGGGCAATGTCTTCTCTATCGCCGCAGCTTTCCTAGGCCTATCTCCTCCCCTCTGCACAAAAGTCTTGTCGCCGAAGCTGAACATGCTGTTATAGTCCGGGCTCCGAGACCCACCAGCCCGTGACGCCCCTACGTTGCAATTCCATCCGAAACCCGACGAGAATACATCTTCATGGCTCCGTGATCCGAAAACCCCTGATCCCTCCATGCCTCACTCTCTCTCTCTCTGTTTTTCTCCTCTGTTTCTATCACTCCATGTGCGTCTAAAGCTCTCCTAAACTCTAAGCTCTGGCAAAACCTTTCTTCAAGTAGCACCTGATTTATAGGGTGAGCTCAATTATTGATGTCACAAAAGCAACAGAGCTCGATCACAATCATGGATGGAATATGCAGGACCATCAAAGGTTCAAAGGGTAATTTTGCGAGACTTCCTAGACAAGGCACGCTTGTCCTACGAGGAAAGTAGCTCAAGCGACTGTAGCAGCATTGTGGGTTAGCTTTTGTGAAAAGTTGAAGACCTTTGAGTCAATACTTCTATGAGGGGTCAATATTTCTATGAGGGCTTAGTCTGTATTTTAGATAGGAGGGGACAAAGCTATCTTTGCGTCCTTTTGGTTCCCTTTGGTGATCAGAAAATAAAGTTTACAACACAAGTTTTTTTTTTAACTCTTCTGAATCTAAACCCCACAAATAAACTAATCAACTACTTACAAAGTGCTCGCGCTCATCCACATGAAAAAAAGTCTCAATATTGAATTTTTTTTTCTCATAAGGATAATGATTTTGACACTCTCATTTTGTTCGTTTGTGCTCCTCCTCCCCCTATTTTCGAAGCACAAAAATAATATCGAAGAGTTCAAAGGGATAATCACCACCTTTCTCTAATAAATGGGCCGCCAAGGCCCATGCCAATCAGAGATGTTGGAGCAGAAAATTTTGGACCCAATTCAAAGAACCAAGAAATATGCACATAACATGAGAATGCAAACTTGTACAAGAATATAATAGAGATTAAATTAGAGAATATACAAAACTGGTGATGGGAGAAAAATGACTCATGTGCCAACTGTAGGCAAGGCTGATTAGTTCATCAGGTAAACCATCTTACAGCAAGGCTATCATTGCTCGACAAGAAACATCTGCATATAAATTCAAGCTTGAATTTTGGTTTAAGCTCAATGTAGGAACACTTGCAAATCCTTATGACTCATTTTATGATCTTTTGTTTGAGTTCAGCGTTAACTACTTCAAACATTGAGTCCAATTTTTAATTTGATATCTGAGACCGTCTAGTAATCAGATGAGCTGCTTTTTTTTTTTTGGTGCTACTGCATCATACTGAGAAAAACTTTGCAGCCTAGACAACTAACACAAGAACACACAGGAAAGCTTACACAAGCTTGGCAGATGGTGAAGGGAAACCTAGAAAGTTAGTGATTGAGTGCAGATAAAATGAAAAGCAGAGAGAAAAGTTTGGTGATATGGTAGGGAGAGCTACCACCATACCAGCATTTACGAAAGTGTTAACAATTGTTTGATGTTCTGTTTCTATCTCTTTGTGTGTAAAAACTCTCCTAAACTCCGTGCTCTGGCTAAACCCCTATGTCCGCTACTCAATTGGAGAAAGTCTCGAAATCGAAATCTCTTCTTTAAATGGTAGTGATTTTCACACTCGTTTTGTCCGTTCGAGCTATTCTCCCCTTATTTTCATGCTTTGAATATCAAAGCACAGAAATAATAGGGAGAAATTCTAACGGATAATCGCCACACGAGAAAATAAAATTACTCATGTGCCAAGTGTAAGTAAGGGGCATTGTTCATCAGGTAAACCATCTTACAACAACGTTATCATTGCTCGACAAGAAACATCTACTTATAGAAAAAAGAAACGAAGCTCAATCAAGGCCTAAACACTTGGAACTAGTCACTTCGACGCATTTTATGATCTTCTGATTCATTACACAAATTCAAGCTCCATCTCCACTTCCTCATTAATACAAGACCTTAACGTAAACTTCAAGCAAGAAACATGAAGAATATTGAATCCTACGCTGCCTATTTTGCCTTTGATTCGGCGTTTACCATTTCACAGATCATGTCCTGTTTTTGATTTCATATCTGGGACCGTTTCTTAATCAGCTAGAGCTTCTTACTTTTATGTTAACTGAGTTTCCTTGTTACCATTGGAGGAATCACAATCAACAAGGCCACTGTAACTGGAAGTGCTCCAAAACAGAGTTAATTACAGAGCATAGATTACACCATATATTGCAATAATAATTGCTCCCGTTCATCACAATAATGTGGTGGAGAAAGCAATCTACTTGTACACAGCTAACACAACACACACACAAACCTACACAGTACAATCAGGAAAGCTTGGTAGATGGCTAAGGGAAACCTAGAAAGTTATTGTTTGGGTGCAGAGAAAATGAAAAGCAGACGAAAAACTTCGATGGTACAATCAGCATTTACGAAGATGTTAACAAATGTTTGATGCTAGTTTTCTGCTCTGAGGTAAGCTTGGGGATCCTGATGTTAAACTTGAGAATCAAGTTACCCTTTTTGCCTTGTTCCTTCTGGATAGGCATTCCTTCCCCTTTAACCACTTCTTCGTGGGTGGGACCGATGATCGAATCAATGGAGACCCGCAGATTTCTCCCGTCAAGCGTTGTCATCAGCGCTGTGTGTCCTGTCAGAGCGTCCGCAAGAGAAATGTTCTGAGTGACAACGAGATCATCCCCATCCCTCTTGAAAAAACTATGAGGCTTCTCATCAATGGTAAAGATGATGTCGGCTGGTAAAACACCTCGCTCTACATCATGCCCTTTCTCTGGGAAAGTGATTTTGGTGCCCTTTTTCCAACCAGGCTTGATCTCAATGTTTAGAACTTCCTCCACTGTGCTTCTTCTTCTGTAAGTCCAAACAAAACAAAACAAGTCCGAATTCTTCAATTAGAAGTATTCAAAAGGGTAAGTAGATCAATGACAAGATATACCAAATAGAGGCACAAGATCTTGTCTTGTGAGGTATTTGTTCATTTCTTACCCACTAGCACCAACAACATCCTTAGAAATCTTTATCTTTCTGGTGTTGCCCATGTACAACTCCTCCAAGCTGCAAGGCAATGTCCTCCTTATCGCCGCTGCTTTCCTCTGCCGACCATTGCCCTCTGCTGCGGCTATAAGCGACTCGAATATATTTTCGCCGTTCATACTCCTGATTTCGGGGCTCCGAGACCGAGACCCACCGGCCCGTGACTCGCCCAGGTTAACCCTCTGTCCAAAAAACTCCGAGAACACATCGTCCGAGTCCCGAAAACCGTCATCCCGTGACTGGCCCATGCCGCCGCCTCTCCCACCAAAAAACTCCGCGAATATATCTTCTGGGCTCCGAGACCCGCCGGGCCTTGATCCTCCACTCAAACCCTCCTCGCCGTAATGATCGTACACTGCTCGCTTTCGAGGATCGCTCAAAACCTGCCCAATATTTGATTAGCAATAAATTTCAGGTGGGAATTTTGAGAAATTTTTGTTCCGAAGTAAAATTAAAAAGATGACATTACAATTACATACGTCGTAGGCTTGGCAGAGTTGGTTGAATTTGGCCTCGGCAGCTTCCTTCAAGTCAACTTCACTGGCGTTGCGTGGTACTTGAAGAATCTTATAGTAATCGGCGCCCATGACTCTCTATCTCTCTGGTAAGAAAAGCCTTGGATTTTCTGTTCGTGTAAACTCCGGTTAGTGGCTGAAGCTTGTTCAAGTAACCACCATATTTATATGGCGAGCTCAATCATTGATGGGTGGCAGCCAAAGAAACAGAGCTCTCTCACTCAATCACAATCATAGATGGAATATGCAAAGCCAAGGGGTCCAAAAGGGTAACTTTGCAAGACTTCCTAGACAAGGCAGAACAGAAAGCAAAGCACCATTGACTACCACAAGAATTGCTAGCTACAGTAGGTCAAGCGACTGTAGCAGCAAAACTGTTTTGTTCACCAGCTTACACGTGGCCTACCACTTCAGGAAGGTTCAAAACTTTTTGCTGTGAACTTCCTCGAGGGTTTTCCGACCGAATCCCGAAAAATAAAGAAAGAAAGAAGACTTCCTGGAGGGTTCAGTTTGTATGATGTGAATGATAATGTGAGAGAAAAAGCTATGTCCCTTTGGTTTAATTTTCGTGTTATTAGATTAATGCTAAACTAATAGAGTAGGTAGTATTTTTCTCTTTGATAGTGGCCAAGACTTTCGAAGAAGATAAGTGGAGGACTTCGGTAGTTGGTTCATTCCAATTTTCTTTACCAAATACAAGGAAAAAAGAAAGTTAAGCTTCAGTTTGTTCCTCAGTTGCATTCGTTACTTATACAAATGGGCTGCCTATGCTTGTAGGACTATAGCTATAAACAACTCGTCCCGGTCGCCTCTTCTTTTTCGTTTGGATTAGAATGGAAGGAAAATAAAACCCTAAACTAGCCTAATCCTAACCCATTTCCTCACCTACCCAGCCCAACTTTGACAATCTTACCATTACACAAGTAACACAATAGAAATATCTACACAGTAGACAGCGAGAGTGGTAGATGCAGAAGCAAAGAGGGAAGGAGAAGGGGAGGAGGGGAAGAGGGGAATTTTAAGGGGGAAATACCCTAAAGAGGTTAACAAATAGTTTACAAATTTCAAGTGTCAATAATTTCGTCTATCCAGCATTTCTACATAAGTTAAGAAAAGATTGGAAAAGAAGAGAAATGGAATGTGGAAATTAACAACCTCCTAGTCAAATGCTGTGATCAAATCCCCAAATTCAACGAGGCGTGAATTTCCAATCCAGAAAACAAAAAGAACAAAAACACTAGCAAACCAAACAAATGCAAGCTTTCACAGGTTTGGTAGATGGTAGGGCGAGCTACCACCAGCCTCTATGAAGATGTTAATAACCGTTTGATGCCAGTTTTCTGCTCTGAGGTAAGCTTGGTAGGGAACTTGATGTTAAACTTGATTCTCAAGTTTCCCTTTTTGGAAGGTTCCTTCGGGATAGGCATCCCCTCCCCTTTGACCACTTCTTCATATGTGGGACTGATAATAGAATTGATGAGAACTGTCAGACTTCTCCCGTCAAGTGTTGTCAGCTGTGCAGTGTGACCTGTCAGAGCTTCCGCAAGAGATATCTTCTGAGTGACAATAAGATCATTCCCATCCCTCTTGAAAAGACTATGAGGCTTCTCATCAATGATAAAGACAAGGTCTGCTGGTACAATTCCTCTCTGTTCATTCCCTTTCTCTGGAAAAGTGATTTTTGTGCCTTTCTTCCAACCTGGCTTGATCTCAATTGTTAGAATTTCCTCCACTGTGGTAGTTCTCCTGTACCCAAAAAAAAAAAAAAGAAAAAGAACAATAAATAGCATATGGATCCAACACAGACATGTCAATTAAAGGGATCCAAAAGGTGACAAATCCACCCCTGGAAGATAAACAATAACATTACTAATGACAAGATCATCAAGCTAAAGCTTAAAGAGTTTCTCTCCAACATCAACGTGTATTATAGAATGCTAATATACATCCTGCCAACTGGCAAATGAATCTAACCACAACCATATTCTAAACATCCATATCCGCCGTGGATGGTATCAAGTTACGATACCCCTAAAACCAAAGACATTTCTGCCACCCTAGTGCAACAATTTCATGATTTACCTCAACACTGTCCACAAACCATATGTACATGTGGCCCTCCCAGGCTCTGAACTTTAGATAATCATAATAACTGTAGCATTCAATAGTAGTAATCATTCTGGTATGCCTGAGTGTTAGAGACAGATAGACTATATAATCGTAGTATAAATACAGGCAACACTTGAATATATAAGTAGTCACAAGAAACATGACTAATATAGTAATAATAAGGATGCACAGAACTTGACAGCATTTTCATCAATAATAACGTGGTGGGTTTCAAGAAAGACTTCTGATAGGTGAAGTTGTCTGAGATTATCATCGAGGATATAATGGAGATTAGAGAACATAATTTTCCAAAAAGCTGTAAGGGAGAAAAAATGACTCGTGTGCCAAACACACATAGTAAAGATTAAGGCTTAGTTCAGTCAGTTCATCTAAGATTATTTCTTCATCAGCGCTGGTTATCAGGTAAAACCATCTTACATGGCTATCATTGCTCGACAAGAAAAAACCAACATAAATCTCCCATTTAACTAGTGGAACCTAACACCAATTACCGCAATCTTAACTAGTTATCCTAATGTTTGGGATGAAACCAAGAATCACCTAACTGCACTATTAATAATTTAATTACATTCAGGATGACCGCTAAAGTCTGAGGAAAGACTTTATAAAGGGATATAAAATGTTGGTGGTACTGGAAAGAACCATAATCTAAGATTTAGTGCATTTTGTTACACTATAACTAATACAAGTTAATCAGATAAATCAGAAAAGATGCACAAATTGTGATGCATTCATCTCTTTGCAACTGCTAATATATACTGATATTTTACTCAATTTTCAACAAGAACTTTCCTATCCACACAATGATATTTTTCTATCAAATGAGAACTCAAGTGGGGAAATAGAAATGGCACTGGAAGTTTAAAACTTAAAACAACTTGAACTTCAAAACAACATTAACCAGAACAGTACTAGCATCAGTAGTCATAACATCATTCACTTACGCTTGAAAAGGAAAAAAAAAATTGCTTCTATGCACTTCTCTTCTATCTCCTGTCTTGAACAGTATCATGTATAGGCCCTTAAGGGGATTCAGATGCAATACTAAAACATTAAAGAAGAACACAAACTAACAGAGATCCAAAGTCAGGAATTATATATACACCTGAGCAAAAAATGCACTTGAATGATGTGAGAAGATAAAGCTAATTGCACAAACTAACGGAGATCTAAACTCTAGAATTCTAAATACACCCGAGCTGAAAATGCCACCTGAATGATGTTGAGAAGATAACTTACACACAATGTTATTGCTAAGATTCGCAAATTCAAACCAGGAAAGGAGATAACTTACTAAAAACCTCATTGTGCAACCTCAGCCATGCAATCAACTCACCCAAGAAAACAAACACACACATAGAGAGAGGTTCTTAAAAATCCAACAACAATATTTATATATAGAGAGAGTAAAGGCTTACCCACTAGCATCAGGAACATCCCTAGAAATCTTCATCTTTTTGGTGGTGCCCTTGTACAAGTCCTCCAAAGTACAAGGCAATGTCCTCTCTATCGGTGCAGCTTTCCTGGGCACATTCCCTGAGGCCTCTGCTCCACCTCTAAATTGCGCGAATATGTCTTCCCCAAACATACTCCTCGGGAATGGGTTCCCACCAGCCCGAGACCCGCCTGCCCGTGACCCGCCCATATCGGGCATTCCCCCGAAACCCGAAAACCCGAAAAATTCAGAGAAAATATCATCGGGGCTCCTGGTGTTGAACCGGAACATCGTCGGACCGCCATCTTGGCCTTGGCCTTGCCCGCCCGACCAGGACGAATCAGGCGGCGGCACCCCTCCCTTCAAACCCTCCTCACCATATTGATCGTACACTGCTCGCTTTTGGGGATCACTCAAAACCTATCCAATTTGATTGATTGAAAAAAAATTGATAATAAATCTCAGTTGGGAATTTTAACAACAACGAGAATTTAAGAGATTACGTACGTCGTAGGCTTCAGAGATTTGCTTGAATTTGGCCTCGGCGGCTTTCTTGTTGTTAGGGTTTTTGTCAGGGTGCCACTTCATGGCGAGCTTTCGGTACGCTTTCTTCAAGTCATCGTCTTTGGCACTTCTTTCTACCTGAAGAACCTTGTAGTAATCGACGCCCATGCCTCTGTTTCACTCTGTATCTCTCTTTCTGTGTCTCTCTCTCTTTCTCTGGTACAAAAAAGCTTAGGATTTCTGTATGTGCGTCTCGAAACGCTGCGTTTTAGCTAAACCTGGGACTTCTTGTTCTGGTCGGAGTGTGGTGGTGACGTGACGTGAGTTAGTCATCACAGCATACAACCGCCGTTTATATATGTGGGCTGACTAGGCCCGTCCCAATCGCATCCTCTGTCTTATTGGACTATATTTTATGATGATAAATCATACGGCCCAAATTTGATAACCAAATTTTTTTACTTGGATTGGAAGATAAGAATCAAATTGAAATTTGTCATCATCAAAAAGTGTTCAACCACTTGACCTTTTTTTAATATGAAGACAGGTTGCTTGATGAAAATCCAATAATTAATAATAAGATTTGTTAATAATATGATTAACGAATCGTCACCGCACAGTTGTCATAATCAGTATTTAAAAATCATCTTTGCATAAATCAATCAAATTGAAGATCTTTTATTTGGTAATATGTTTCAAATATATATATACGGTTCATCATAAGAATTTTAATTGTTACTAAAATTTTCAATTTATATGTATAACTAATCGATCTTCAATTTAATAAATTTTTTGCATAAATGATCTATAAGCGAACGGTTTCGATTATGAAATGTGTATGATGAAAATTCATTAATCGGAACTGGTTAGATAAGAATGATGGACTTAAGTACAATGGATAAAGAAATAAAGATAAAACAGCAAAGTACAAAGCAGCTGTGCTGTTGTTATTGTTGAGGTAACAATTAACAAAAGGCCCACAACCACCACCGTAATTCCACGATATTTACAATTGTTCTGTTTTTTTCTTTTAAAGAAAACAGTGACAACTTACAGATGCAGAAGAGCACCATTGTTTCTCTAAGCTCCTGTCGCATTCAGTGACAGAGGCCGTGGTGGTGGATTGTTGTGGGCTGCCATGGCGCCGATTGGCCAGGCTGCCGAAGTGTACGTGCCGAGGAGCATTCAACTATGGCGAGCTTTCATCAACTGGATGGGCTTCTACTTCCAGATCCTTCTTCAGATCCTGAGAGACACGCCTTGCGTTCCTCAACTGCTGTCGTTCATAGGCCCCTCTTCTCCTTCTTTCAGACCCTTGCCTGTCGTCGAACTCCCTCTCAACGACTTGTCGTCCCCTGCCCAAGTTGAAAACGGTGTCATAAATGGTCACCGCCACATTGAAAAGCTCACAGTGAGTATCTTCATCTGTTAGTTTTGTTGGTGTAGTTGCTAATTGTTACTGTTGGAAGTTGGTTTCGTTGCGTTTTTTCTTTCTGGGTTAATTCAGCTGAATTGATGGTCGGATGCAGTTAATTATCTGAAATAATAATCTGGGTTATCTGCAAAAATTGGAATTTTCATTTCTTCAAGTGAATTTGATCATTATGGTTTTGTTAACTTGCGCCTTTAGAAATTAGATTTTAGCGCACGGACATTTGTTGCATTCTTGATATACCATGAAAGTGACTTCCTTTTATAGTTAATTGAGCTAAAAATGAAGGAGCTTTTAGCAGTGTTAGTATTTTGTCGACTGGGTATTTGAGCTTTTAAATTTGTTAGCTTTTAGCAGCGTTATTGAAGCTTAATTCCACTTGGTTCAGTAACATGAGCAGGCTAGTGTTTTTGAGTGATTGGTTTTAAACTTGTTATGGATTTTGTAATGTAGGTAGTTCTTGACTTGGATGAGACTCTAGTATGTGCTTATGAAACATGTACCTTGCCTGCAATTGTTCGAACTCAAGCGACGGAAGCTGGGCTGAAGTGGTTTGAGATAGAATGTGCATCTTCTGACAAGGTATGTAGACCTTTGATTCTCTTTTCTCTGCAACTTTATACTCAATTTGATTGTCAAATGATAGTGTGTCTAATATGTTATTATTTGGGGTTGAAGGAGCCAGATGGGAAACCAAAAGTCAATCATGTGACAGTGTTTGAACGTCCTGGTTTGCGAGAGTTCTTGAAACAGGTTTATGAATTTGCTGATCTTGTACTATTCACTGCTGGTGTTGAAGGTTTGTTGCTTTCCCAGTTCCACATTCTCTTTTTGTTCGATTTATTTATCTGATTTGCTATTTTTTTTTAATTTACTCTGGCCACCATACAGACTATGCTAGACCACTTGTTGACAGAATTGATGTGGAGAATCTATTTAAGCTTCGTCTTTATCGGCCTTCTACTGTTAGCACGTAAGTCAGTGAGCATGCTGGTGCAATTTAATAATAAGTGCTGGCATATTGTGGGATATATCAACACACACACTCATACACTTGCACACTGAAGAATTTTTGCCTTTGATTATCAAAGCTCAAGTTGGAACTTGGAATGATCTTTGAAGTTGTGTAAACCACAGGGAATGCCGGGAACATGTGAAAGATCTATCTTGTTTGTCAAAAGATCTCTGTCGAACTGTGATTGTTGACAACAACCCATTCAGTTTTTTGCTGCAACCGCTGAATGGAATTCCATGTGTTCCATTTTCTGCTGGACAACCAAAAGATGATCAGGTTATTCATTTATTTACGTTTCAAATAAAGAGTTAATAATGAACTGAAGCATGTTCTAACTGATTCTATCCTTCTTTGCTTTTCATTCATGTGGATTGTGTAGCTTTTGGAGGTCCTGCTTCCTCACCTCAAGCAGCTCTCCCTGCAAAAAGATGTGAGGCCTGTGCTTTATGATAGGTTCCACATGCCTGAATGGTTTCAAATGCATGGATTTCCTGTTTCCGTTTTGACAGCATGATGTTAACTAAGGTCACTTTAGGGATAGGCAGCAATTTGCCTTGGGGCAGCACCTAACCCGATACACGTTTGGTGGAAGCATTTCTCTCGATGTAGGATTAACTCCGATTCTTTTGTAATTAGACTATAGGGTTGAATGAATTTAGTACATTCAGAGAATTTATGTTTTTTATTATGGCAATTCCCAAAGTATACATCAAATAAGAAGAAAGAATATATATGCAAAAGACTTATTTTCCTCCTCAGGTCTGTTCAACCATTTCACTTCCAGTCAATAGTTGCTTCTCTTCCTCCTCAAGTCTTTCCAACCATTTGAGTCCTAAATCACATCCTCCTTTCGCAGCAATCTGGAACCATTCTCCTGCCATCTCTACAGGATCGGTTACAAGGCTTTCTCCATTCTTTCTTGCCGTCCTGGCCAAAGAACCCCTCTTTGAAGTTAGCTTGGTCACAGATTCTGGGATTTCAACACAGATTCTGGGATTTCAACACCTCTAAGAATAAGAGACCCAAATGCTATAGCTGCACCGGCATGCCCCTTGTCCGATGCCCTATGTAAGCACCACAATGCAGAGGCAATATCTTTCTTCACACTCCCCCGTGAGATACACGGCACCCAGAAGGTAAAGAGCACCTGGGTGCAGCTGGTCCACAGCCTTCTCCAGATAATGGAAAGCTTGTTGATCCGATTGGACGCATTCATTTTCGACTCTAAGACCTAGTTCATACTGCGCATCCGGATCACCCATATTTGCGGCTTCAATTAACAGAGCAGCTCCTACGGCTCTGCAAGCCCCCGGGACATGGTATTTCAATGCAGTTTGGACAACCAAAACCTGGCATGGGTGTTTGAATTGTCAGCTTCCAGAGCCAGCTCAAAGTTTTCCTTTGCTGCCCTTAACAGAGGGATGAGACGGCGGTCATTGAGCTCGCAGTAATCGATAACTCTGTCCACTTCTTTCAAAGCACTCCACCCTTTGGCTATCAACTCCATGGCCTTCTTGTTCCTGCTGTGCATCTCTCCGTTGATTGAATTGAGTGACGCCATTGGAGGTCTGAAACTGAGCTTCTTCAAGAGCTGCCTCTGCATCATCTCTATGTGGGCGTGAGAGAGAGAGAGTGAGAAAGAACAATTAGCGCAAGCATCAAATCAACATGCAGGGTCTATTCAAGAACAGCCAGATTATAGGATCAAAGTTCACGACTTGCCACAAGAAACCCAGACGAGAATTGGGGATAAAAAATGTTTCCTTGAAACCGAAATTGAAGTTGGAATGTTTGAGAGGAGTGACAAGAGGCAGAAACACTAATTTTTCTAGTTGAGAGCAGACTCCTGATCCGAGTCCCACCCACGATTCTCGAATATGTTGTTGAGAAATAGCTGGGCTTATTATTTGAAGTTCAATAATTTTATTTTCACTTCTCTCAAAAAACTAAAAACATTACTTTCATTTTAATTTTTATTAAGATAAACACTGCAACATAAGCTGCATGGTAGGATCTCCATTTTGATATTTTTAATTGGAATGAGGTTCAACACAGCTTTGGTTTAAAGTGATCAAAAGCGTATTGAGAGTTCACATAATTATTAAAACATTAGTCTGCCAAAGAATCAACAAAAAATACATCGAGTGCTGAAACGTAATTTGTTTCAATTACAAAACTTTGATCATATGGTACACAATCGAACCGGTGCCTACTGAATCTCTCTTATTGCTCACCATTCTAAGAACGCGGTAATTCTATGATACAAGGAGATCTGCTCAGTTTTACTATTTGATAAGATACATAACACAACCATGACTGCCTTGATGTCGTTCGCGTCAGGGTGAATAGATTTGTAGCACGGAAGTCCGTGTATTTTCGGATTCCAGTCTGTTCTCTGAGATCAAACTTAAAGCAGAAAACAATTCGGAATTGACTTGGAATTTCAACAAGCACTGGATGACTCCTTTGATTTCTCTGCGACTGCCTCCTTATCTGAGTTGCTTGCATCTCCCGCCTGAGACTGACTGGTTTGAGCCTGAGAATCTGAAACAATTCCTAGAACTACCAATATGGACCTGGAAGAAAAAAAAAAACAAAAAAAAACAAGCCCAGCTCTAATATCAGCTGCTGATTCCTCCTCCATTTTAGAGATCTTTACAAGTGAGTTTTCATTTACCTTGGAAGTGAAGATCGGATGTCCGGTTGGCTAGCGTGAGCAACCAACGGTGCTTTCAGAGCTGCAGTTCTCTTCAGTGCATTTTCTAGCTGTGCTGGAGGTAGCTGAGTCAACAATATACATATCATCAGAACTCATAAAGAAGTGAACAACCGTTGTTTCAAAGTCCAAATGTACATTCTAAGA